CACCCTACAGGAGCTGGCCAGCCTCGTCACCCCATCTTCCCACCTCCATTCTGCAACCACAGGGGCCTTCTCTCTCCTGTCCTTCCCCCTCCGCGAGCCAAGCCTCCCTCCTCCATGTCCTCCGCCTAACACATATCCTTAAGTCTCACCTCCTCCAGGAAGCCCACCTCCTCACACTAACCCTGGTCCCCCTGAGTGCCTAGTCCATCCGTCCAGACTCCCCCGGAGCCTGTGATGAAGTCTGCACCTCTGTCTGTGTGTACTTGCCTGATGATTAGAGGAATGCCTACCTCCCAAAGGACGCTGCATGCTCAAGGCACCTTCTGCCTGTGGCTTTGTTTATCCGTTTGAACCCTATTTACCTAGCAAGTCTTGCACCAAATAGCATTTGGAGAGCTGCGGGTATCACAGTGTACCACGACCTCTAGGCCGGTGGAAGAGTCCGTCACACAAACTGCACTGGGTCCCAGGGTGAGTCCAGGAGCCGGAACTTAGCCAGCACCCACTACCCCCGGCCTCTCCCACAACCCCCGGAAAGGAGTTGGAATCTGGAGCCGCCCCCACCCCAGCCCGGCGCTTTTTGCTTTCTGGCTGGTATTTGTTCCTTCCCGGCGCCTGTCACTCCAGCACACTGGTGACGATCGCCGGTGGGAAAGGGGGGTGGAGGAAGCGAGGCCGAGAGCAGGAGGGGCTCTGCGGGGACATTCTTTGGAGTTCCCACAGGCCGGGGCGTCCGGGTGGGGTGAGCGCATCCCTCTCCACTGGGATTGGGCGAAGCCTCCCGGCTCGCACTCCAGGACGCTGGGTGTGTTCACTGGCCCTGCCGGAGTTGACGGAGTTGACGGGCGTCCGGCGCGTGTCAGGCCGGGGCAGGACTGTGGGCTGACTTTCTCCCTCACTCGGGACGCTCGCGCTCCCGAAAGGAAAAGGTGGCGCTGAACGCCGGGGTGGAAGAGCCCACAGCGCGCGACTCCGACGGGCCGGCCCCACCCGCGCGGCCACCGCGCAGCTTAGGGCCAGCGGGATGGGCGGGAGTGGAGCGTTGGGTGGAAGGTGGAGACCTCCTGGCCCCGGCCCCGCCCAGCCCAGCGAGCGCCCCGGGGGGAGGCCAAGCCCAACGCCCACCCTGCCCTTGACTCCTCTGCGGTCCAGGCCGCGCCCAGGGCTCCGCGCCAGCCAATGAGTGCCGCGCGGCTGGGCGTGGCCCCGCGCCCAGAGCATAAACCCTGGCGCGCTGGCAGCCCGGCACTCTTCTGGTCCACACAGACTCAGAAAGAATCCACCATGGTGCTGTCTCCGGCCGACAAGAGCAACGTCAAGGCCGCCTGGGGTAAGGTCGGCAGCCACGCTGGCGATTATGGTGCCGAGGCCCTGGAGAGGTGAGGCTCCCTCCCCTGCGCCGACCCGGGCTCCTCACCCGCCCCGACACACCGGCCACCCCCCACCGTCCTGGCGCCGACCAGGACCCCACTCCCTATTCCGCCTCTCTCCGCAGGATGTTCCTGTCCTTCCCCACCACCAAGACCTACTTCCCCCACTTCGACCTGAGCCACGGCTCTGCCCAGGTCAAGGGCCACGGCAAGAAGGTGGCCGACGCGCTGGGCACCGCCGTGGCGCACGTGGACGACATGCCCAATGCGCTGTCTGCGCTGAGCGACCTGCACGCGCACAAGCTTCGGGTGGACCCGGTCAACTTCAAGGTGAGTGGCCGCCCGGGAGCCATCTGGGTCGAGGGGCGAGATCACGCCTTCCTCGCAGGGCAGAGCACCCCGCGGGTTGCGGGAGGTGTGGCGCAGGCGGCGGCTACGGGCCCTGGGCCCCTCTGAGCCTTTTCTCTGCACAGCTCCTGAGCCACTGCCTGCTGGTGACCCTGGCCGCCCACCACCCGGCCGAGTTCACCCCTGCGGTGCACGCCTCCCTGGACAAGTTCCTGGCTTCTGTGAGCACCGTGCTGACCTCCAAATACCGTTAAGCTGGAGCCTTGGTGGCTGTTCCTCCTGCCCTCCTGCCCTCGGGTCCTCGGGCCAGGCCCTCCTCCCCCTCTGCACCTGCACCCCCTGGTCTTTGAATAAAGTCTGAGTGGGTGGCAGCCTGTGTGTGCCTGGCTTTCTTCTCTCAGCTGAGGTTCTGGGATGGGCGTGGATACCGTCTGGGACACACATGCCTAGGACCTCTCTGCGTCTGGAATGGGCAGGAAAGGGCAGGGGCCGGAGGAAGGCAGAGAAGGAGGGATATTGAGCCATCCTGAATTACATGAGAGATAAACTGGAAAACTGCTGGGCCCTAGAGAGCTTTGAAGATACATTTCCTCTTTCCTGAGTTTTATCCCCAGGCCTTTCAGGTTCGATGCAGGTTTGCTGAAATAATGAATTCATCCATCTTTCCGTTTCAGGGCACTCTTGTGCCAGGAACTGGCTGGCTTTCTCCCTGCGACCCCACTAGTCTCCCAGGGGTCCTCCAGATATGGGTGGTGGAGAGGTTAGGGAAGTCCCACTCCAGCGCGGCTGCACTGATCCCCCATCGTCCCCACCAGTCTCTGCAGAACCTCCCAGATACAGGCACAGTCTAGATAAAATCAGGGGGGAGGGGTGCAACTGCAGACCCCAGACACTTCCATGGGGGTTCCCCTTTCGCCCCCATGCCGCCAAGGTGTTCACCCTCCAGACACATGCCCCAGCGCTGTCAAGATCAGGAGGTTGTCTCTGGGCCCAGCTCAGCACCCACTCAGCTCCCCTGAGGCTGGGGAGAGGACTGGCTAGAAGGTCCCTCCTCCCTGCAGTGTTTTTTCTCCCTGCTGTGCAGCCTCCCAGTGCTTGGGGTATCACTGGAAGGACTTTGGGTTCCCTGACCTGGCAGCCAGCAAGCCCTGGCCCCCGACGGATCACACCTCTTCCTCCCTGAGCCCATGAATCGCCATTGGTAAACACTTATGGCAGACCCTCTGCCTCCGTTTGTGATGCGCTTCCCACAGACTGTGGGTACAGTATGAACGGCCAGGAAAAGGGTGTCTTCATTATTTCATCAGGAAGAATGGAGATCTGACCTAAAGGTGGAAACATGTCAAATGCACATCAGTGGGCTGATTGGAGTGCAGAGGGTGTTTACAATTAATTGATCAGAGCCAGTTATAAATTTATTGTTTCCTTCTCTGCTCCTCCTGCTTCAGCTGACTAAGCCTAAGAAAAGGTTATAAAAATTGGCTGGGTGGGGTGCCTCATGCCTGTAATTGCAGCACTTTAGGAGGCCAAGGCAGGCGGCTCACCTGAGGTCAGGGGTTCGAGACCAGCCTAGCTAACATGGGGAAAGCCTGTCTCTACCAAAACACAAAAATTAGCTGGGCGTTGTGGCACGCGCCTGCAGTCCCAGCTACTCAGGAGGCTGAGGCAGGAGAATCGCTTGAACCCAGGAGGCAGAGGTTGCAGTGAGCCGACATCACGCCACTGCACTCCAGCCTGGTGACACAGCAAGACTCTGTCTCAAAGCAAACAAACAAAATATTTGATAGGTGAAAGAAGCCAGACACAAAAGGCCACATATTTCATGACCCCATCTATATGCGATATCCACTACAGCCAAATCCATAGGAATCAAAAGCAGATTAATGGCTCCTGGGCCGGAGATACTGTTAACGAGCACAAATTGGCGTTTGGGATGATGAAAAAGTTCTGACATAGATAGTGATGATGGTTGCATTACATTGTAAATATTCTGGTAATTGATGTCGATTTTATCACGATGTTTTTTTTAACAAAAAGCTATAAGGTGGTATAGCAGAGTGAGCGCTGCACGCGTATTTACTATTATTACTGGGTTACATCCCAGGCACTCAATAAATGTTCATTGCCCTGAAGAAACGCCTGCTATGAGTCAGGGACCTGACAGTTGTTATCCTTTTAATTCTCACCATCTGAGAAGAAACTGTTACCCTCATTTTATGATAAATGAGAAAATAGATTCCAGCAAGCGTCACAGTAGATTCAAGAGGCAGAATAAACGTACTTCCAATGCGAAATCCATGCCGAAATTCAGAGTTGTAGTAATATATATGGCCTGGTGCAGTGGCTCACGCCTGTAATCCCAGCACTTCGGGAGGTCAAGGCGGGAGGATCACCTGAGGTCGGGAGTTCGCGATCAGCCTAGCTAAGATGGTGAAACGCCGTCTCTACTAAAAATACAAAATTGGTCGGGCGCGGTGGCTCAAGCCTGTAATCCCAGCACTTTGGGAGACCGAGGCGGGTGGATCACGAGGTCGAGAGATCGAGACCATTGCGGTCAACATGGTGAAACCCCGTCTCTACTAAAAATACAAAAAATTAGCTGGGCATGGTGGCACGTGCCTGTAATCCCAGCTACTCAGGAGGCTGAGGCAGGAGAATTGCCTGAACCCAGGAGGCGGAGGTTGCGGTGAGCCGAGATCGCGCCATTGCACTCCAGCCTGGGTAACAAGAGCGAAACTCTGTCTCAAAAAAAAGGAAAAAAAAAAAAAAAAAAAAAATACAAAATTGGCTGGGGTGGTGGCGCTCGCCTGTAATCCCAGCTACTGTCATGCTAAGGCAGGAGAATCGCTTGAACCTGGGAGGCAGAGGTTGCAGTGACCCGGAATCACGCCACTACACTCCAGCCTGGGCGACAGAGTGAGATTCCATCTCCAAAAATAATAAGTATTATATATTTAGTTACATATATATATATATATATTATTATTACATATTTCTCTAATATATGTAAGCACGCTCCACTATGTCCGGCTACACTTGAAATTTTTTTTTGTGAATGTGCGGCCTCCCTATGTTGCCCAGGCTGGTAAATACTATTTTCCATATGGTGAACACCTAAAACGGGGGGCCTTGGATTTAGGGCGATTCAGAGGGCCCCGGTCGGCGCTGACGGAGACTGAGCGCGCACAGACCGGGGACTAGGCCGCGGACCCCAGGGCGGCGAGGCTGCGGCGCGGCGCCCCCTGGAGGCCGCGGGACCCCTTGCCGGTCGGCGCAGGCGCGGCGGGTTCGGGCGCGGGGATGGCGCTGCGCGCGGAGGACCGGGCGCTGGTGCGCGCCCTGTGGAAGAAGCTGGGCAGCAACGTCGGGGTCTACACGACAGAGGCCCTGGAGAGGTGCGGCGAGGCTGGGCGCCCCCGCGCCCCGGGGCCCTTCCTCCCCAGGCTCCCCGGACGCGCCTCACGCCCGTCACGCCCGCTCCTCTCGTAGGACCTTCCTGGCCTTCCCCGCCACGAAGACCTACTTCTCTCACCTGGACCTGAGCCCCGGCTCCGCCCAGGTCAGAGCCCACGGGCAGAAGGTGGCGGACGCGCTGAGCCTCGCGGTGGAGCGCCTGGACGACCTACCCCGCGCGCTGTCCGCGCTGAGCCACCTGCACGCGCGCCAGCTGCGAGTGGACCCCGCCAGCTTCCAGGTGAGCGGGGGCCTCGCTAGGCGCCTGTCCCCGGGAGGGCCCCAGCGGGGTAGATGCGGGTGGCGCGCGGGGCGGGGGCGGGCGAGTGAGCCTCGCGCGCCCGCTGCAGCTCCTCGGCCACTGCCTGCTGGTCACCCTCGCCCGGCATTACCCCGGAGACTTCAGCCCCGCGCTGCACGCGTCGCTGGACAAGTTCCTGAGCCACGTGATCTCGGCGCTGGCTTCCGAGTACCAGTGAACTATGGGAGGTGGCCGCGAGACCCCCAGGCGACCCTCCCCGTGTTTGAGTAAAGCCCCCGCAAAGGCTCAGTCTTCCTGCCGTGCTCTCTCGAGGGCTGGACACTGTTGAGGGAAAGGCGCCGTCCCTCCCCAAGGAAAGGCAGGGGCCTGGGAGCGGCTGGGGGCGCACTCTGTCCATATCCAGGCGCGCCCCGTCCCACCCCCGACAGGTTTGGGGCCTCCGCCCCCGGGGCACTGACCTGGGTACGGCCTGACCCGGCCGAATGCGGTGGCAGGTGGGGGCGGCGGGCCGCGAGGGCGTCCTCCCCACTCGGGGCCAAGTGCGTGGCCCGGGCCCACCGCGCGAACTCCGCACGTCCAGCCTCAGCGCGCGCGAGCGGCGTCAGGGTCCGGGCAGCCTCGGAGCGGGTTAGGGCACAGCGCCCTCTCCCGGCGCGGGCCGGCACCTGCGCAGCACACAGCCCGTTAGCGGCGCCGCGGGACCGGGGGAGGAGGGGGGACCAAGCCCAGTACCTAGTCACAGAGCGGGCGACGTGGACCAGGAGCCAGCCCACGGCCCTGCCTTCGCCCACACTACTGTGGAGAGGGAAGATAGGCCTTCTGTGTTGTCTGTCCCATAAAACCAATCATGGTCATGGCAGAACTTCGGAAAACAATGCTTGCTGCACCTTCCTGTGTAGCGCAGGTCCAGGAACAGGTGCAGCACCTCCCTCACTCCCCACGTGACACGCGGCAGACCGTGTCATGTGTCAACAAGAACAGGACATGGCTGTCAGATCCAAGCGCAACTGTGTGACACAGACATGCCACGCCCACACACGCGGCAAACGCCCCACACAGAGCCATAACATTTAACGCCCAGTCCTTGTAGGCACTAGAAGCACATCTAGAGATGCTTTTCTTCAGAAACGGTATCCTCAGGCCGGGCGCGGTGGCTCAAGCCTGTAATCCCAGCACTTTGGGAGGCCGAGGCGGGTGGATCACGAGGTCAAGAGATCGAGACCATCCTGGTCAACATGGTGAAACCCCGTCTCTACTAAAAATACAAAAAATTAGCTGGGCATGGTGGCACGTGCCTGTAATCCCAGCTACTCAGGAGGCTGAGGCAGGAGAATTGCCTGGACCCAGGAGACGGAGGTTGTGGTGAGCTGAGATCGCGCCATTGCACTCCAGCCTGGGCAACAAGAGCGAAACTCCGTCTCAAAAAAAAAAGAAAAAAAAAGAAAAAGAAAAAGAAACGGTATCCTCAAGGTGACACTAAAGGAAAGTTGACAGGCTGGGCGAGCTGGCTCACACCTGTAATCCCAGTACTCCGGGAGGCCAAGGGGAGATCACATGAGGCCAGGAGTTCTAGACCAGCCTGGGCAACATGGTGAAACCCTGTCTCTATTAAAAATACAAAATTTAGCTGGATGTGGTGGCGTGTGCCTGCAATCCCAGCTACTCAGGAGGCTGAGGTTCGTGGATCACTTGAACTTAGGAGGAAGAGGTTGCAGCCAAGATAAAACCATTGCACTCCAGCCTGTGCAGCATGGAGAAACCCCATCTCTACTAAAAATACAAAATTAGCTGGGCATGGTGTTGCACGCCTGTAATCCCAGCTACTCAGGAGGCTGAGCCGGGAGAATTGCTTGAACCCAGGAGGCAGAGGTTGCAGTAATCCAAGATCACACCATTGCACTCCAACCTGGTCAACAAGAGTGAAACTCTGTCTTGGGTGGAGGAGGAGCCAGAGAAATTATTTGCTACATGTGGCAGATAAAGGTTATCTCTACCATATAAAAAAGATCTCTGGGGTGGACACAATGGCTCATGCCTGTAATCCCAGCACTTTGGGAGGCCAACGCAGGTAACTCACCTGAGGTCAGGAGTTTGAGACCAGCCTGGCCAACATGATAAAACCCCATCTCTACTAAAAATAAAAAAATGTGCTGGTGTGGTGGTAGGTGTCTGTAATCCCAGCTATTCAGGAGACTGAGGCAGGAGAATCACTTAAAACAGGGAGGCAGAGGTTACAGTGAGTTGAGATTGAGCCACTGAACTCCAGCCTGGGCAAGAGAGAGAGACTCCATCTCAAAAAAAAGGACAGATCTCCAAATTATCTTTCTTCTGGCTCCCTATCCCTTTCAAGTCAGTCAACCTAACAAAAATAAGCCAGTAGACAGACAACTCAGATGGGCCAAGGGCCAATGGACATTTGCAGTGATGTTCAAAGACATGCACCTAGCTGGGTGCACAGTGGCCCACACCTGTACTCCCAGAACTTGGGAAGGCTGAGGTGGGAAGACTGCTTGAGCCCAGGACTTTGAGACAAGGGAAACATAGGGAGACCCTGCGTCTACCAAAAATTTAGAAATTAGCAGGCATGGTAGCATGTGCCTGTCATCCCAGCTACTCAGGATGCTGAGGGGGATATCAATTGAGCATGGCAGGTCAAGGCTGCAGTGACGCAGAGGGCCGTGATCATGTCCCTGCACTCTAGCCTGGGTGAGAGTGAGACCCTGTTAAAAAAAAAAAAAAAAAAAAAAAAGGCTAGGCACAGTGGCTCACAAGGTCACAAGATCAAGACCATCCTGGCTAACATAGTGAAACCCTGTCTCTACTAAAACTACAATTAGCCAGGCCTGGCAGCATGTGCCTGTAGTCCCAACTACTGGGGAGGCTGAGGCAGGAGAATCGCTTGAACCCAGGAGGTGCAGGTTGCAGGGATCTGAGGTTGAGTCACTGCACTCCAGCCTGGCAACAGAGCTGGACTACACCCCCTACACGCAAAAGAAAAGGAAAAGAAAAAATATGATGCACAATCAATACATCCATGAATAGAAAACAGGTTAAGTGACGGTAGAGTCACACAGGCAATGCTGTGTACCCACCAAAAAGAATTAGATCAGTCTGAGTACAGACATGGAGCAATGCCAGGACGTTTATATAACAGAACGTGCCATAGCCAACATATAAAGCATAAATCCATTTTTTTTTCCCTCGAGATGGAGTTTCGCTATTGTTACCCAGGCTGGAGTGCAATGGTGCGATCTCGGCTCACCGCAACCTCCGCCTCCTGGGTTCAGGCAATTCTCCTGCTTCAGCCTCCTGAGTAGCTGGGATTACAGGCACGCGCCACCATGCCCAGCTAACTTTTTTTGTATTTTTAGTAGAGATGGGGTTTCACCATATTGACCAGGATGGTCTCGATCTCTTGACCTCGTGATCGACCCGCCTCGGCCTCCCAAAGTGCTGGGATTACAGGCTTGAGCCACCGTGCCCAGCCATCGCATAAATCCATTTTTATATTAATATCACCACAGTAAAACTAGAAAATACCAAATGCTGGGAGCTGTATTCCATGGGTATGGGATACAGGGACAGAGAAGACAACTGGCACAACCTGATATAATCCCAGGAAAGAAAAGCAGTGGGGATGTGAATTTTCATTTGTATCTGTATGGTTCTGAAAACTGCAGAAAACTTTGTTGTGAATACTTATAGCTGCAGTTGTATACACACACCTAATTATTTCCTGGAGGGATTTTTTTTTAAGTCGGGGTTTCACCATGTTGGTCAGGCTGGTCTTGAACTCCCGACCTCAGGTGATCCGCCCACCTTGGCCTACAACGTGCTTGGATTACAGGCGTGAGCCACCATGCCCAGCCCCTGGAGGAATTTTTATAGATGTGGAATTTCTGGGGTAAGTGTGCCCACTGCTATGGTTTTTTTTTTTTTTTTTTTTTTTTTTTTTTTTGAGACGGAGTTTCGCTCTTGTTAACCCAGGCTGGAGTGCAATGGCGCGATCTCGGCTCACTGCAACCTCCGCCTCCTGGGTTCAGGCAATTCTCCTGCCTCAGCCTCCTGAGTAGCTGGGATTACAGGCACACGCCACCATGCCCAGCTAATTTTTTGTATTTTTAGTAGAGACGGGGTTTCACCATGTTGACCAGGCTGGTCTCGATCTCTTGACCTCGTGATCCACCCGCCTCGGCCTCCCAAAGTGCTGGGATTACAGGCTTGAGCCACCGCGCCCGGCTGCTATGGTTTTTGGGTAATATTGCCTTAGTTTCACCAGTGGGAGGCCAGGGCCTGTGTCCTTGACTGCTCTCCATGGTTGTGGGCGGACATTTGATTAGTGATGTCTTTTTTAAACTTCATCAGCCAGGTACAGTGGCTCACACCCGTAATCCCAGCACTTTGGGAGGCTGAGGTGGGTGGATCACCTCAGGTCAGGAGTTCAAGACTAGCCTGGCCAACGTGGCAAAACCCCGTCTCTACTAAAAACACAAAAATTAGCCGGGCGTGGTGGCCCATGCCTGTAGTTCCAGCTACTTGGGAGGCTGAGACGGGAGCATCGTGTGATCTTGGGAGGCAGAGTTTGCAGTGAGCTCAAAGTGTGCTGTTGCACTCCAGTCTGGGCAGTCCGTCCACAGAAACAACTCGATCGTCAGGATGATGGCATCTGCCATTGCCCTCTCCTGCATATGAACCACCCGCTGCGTTCTTGGCCTGTTTTCCCATTGTGGTGTTGCCCAAAGGAGCATTTCTTCTGTGGACCTGTAAACCTGCAGTCCATCTTACATCCTGTTTTGCTTTTTTTTTTTTTTTTGAGTCGAAGTTTTGTCATGCAGGCTGGAGTGCAATGGTGTGATCTCAGCTCACTGCAACCTCCAGACCCTCGACTGCTGCACCTCTGCACCCAGGAGCAGGCACTTAGAGCCCAGGAGGCTCAGGGCCCCTGGGGAAGCCCCAGGCTCTGACTCCTGTAAGTAGGCATGGTCACCCACTTGGGCCTGGGTTGCATCCAGAGCATCAATGAAGTTGGGAGAGCCAGATCCCATCCTTTCTGGAGATATGGGGTTGGACAGAGCTGGCCCTGGCTCAAGGGCTCAGACCACTTGGTACAGAACCCACCCAGAGGTGCACATCTGGAGAGCAGCTGTGGGCTCTCCACACTGTTGGAGAGCCTCACAGACCCACTCAAGTCCAGGAAAGTTTGCACTCTGCCTTTTTTTCCTCCTGGCTCAGCCTCCCAAGTAGCTGGGATTACAGGCATGCCCCACCATTCCCAGC